GCTGTTTAACAGTCTGATGGCCTTGAGATAGAAGCTGTTTTTCAGTCTCTCGGTCCCAGGTTTGATGCACCTGTACTGACCTTGCCTTCTGGATGATAGCGGGGAGAACTGGCAGTGGCTCGGGTGGTAGTTGTCCTTGATTATCTTTTTGGCCTTCCTGTGACATTGGGTGCTGTAGGTGTCCTGGAGGGCAGGTAGTTTGCCCCTGGTGATGCATTTTGCAGACCGCGCCACCCTCTGGAGAGCCCTGCGGTTGTGGGCGGTGCAGTTGCCGTACCAGGCGGTGAAACAGCCCGACAGGATGCTCTCAATTGTGCATCTGTAAAGGTTTGTGAGTGTTTTAGGTGACAAGCCAAATTTCATGGGTAAACAGGGAGTACAGGAGGGGGCTGAGCACACACCCTTTTGGGGCCCCAGTGTTGAGGATCAGTGAAGTGGAGATGTTGTTTCCTACCTTCCCCCCCTGGGGGCGGCCAGTCAGGAAGTCCAGGACCCAATTGCACAGGGCGGGGTTGAGACCCAGGGCCTCGTACTATGGTGTTGAATGCTGAGCTATAGTCAATGAACAGCATTCTTACATAGGTATTCCTCTTGTCCAGATGGGATAGGGCAGTGTGCAGTGTGATGGCCATTGCATTGTCTGTGGACCTATTGGGGCGGTAAGCAAATTGAAATGGGTCTAGGGTGACAGGTAAGGTGGAGGTGATATGATCCTTGACTAGTCTTTCAAAGCACTTCGTGATGACAGAAGTGAGTGCTATGGGGCGATAGTCATTTAGTTCAGTTACCTTTACATTCTTGGGTACAGGAACAATGGTGGCCATCTTGAAGCATGTGGGGACAGCAGACTGGGATAGGGAGAGATTGAATATGTCTGTAAACACACCAGCCAGGTGGTCTGCGCATTCTCTGAGGACGCGGCTAGGAATGCCGTCTGGGCCGGCAGCCTTGCGAGGGTTAACATGTTTAAATGTCTTACTCATGTCGGCCACGGAGAAGGAGAGCCCACAGTTCTTGGTGGCACTGTGTTATCCTCAAAGCGGGCAAATAACTTGTTTAGCAGCAAGACGTCAGTGTCCGCGACATGGCTGGTTTTCCTTTTGTAGTCCGTTATTGTCTGTAAACCCTGCCACATACGTCTCGTGTCTGAGCCGTTGAATTGCGACTCCACTTTGTTCCGATATTGACGTTTTGCCTGTTTGATTGCTTTCCGGAGGGAACGACTACTCTGTTTGTATTCTGCCATATTCTCCGTCACCTTGCCATTTTTATTTTATTTTTTTAAGTCATTTTAGCAGACGCTCTTATCCAGAGCGACTTACTGTTAGAGAGTGCATAGATTATTTTTTCATACTGGCCCCCCATGGGAATCGAACCCACAACCCTGGCGTTGCAAACACCATGCTCTACCAACTGAGCTACATCCCTACCGGCGTGGTTAAATGCGGTGGTTTGTGCTTTCAGTTTTTTGCGAATGCTGCCATCTATCCACGGTTTCTGGTTAGGGTAGGTTTTAATAGTCACAGTGGGTACGACATCTCCTATACACTTCCTTATAAACCCACTCACTGAATCAGCGTATACGTCTATATTATTCTCAGAGGCTACCCAGAACATATCCCAGTCCGCGTGATCAAAACAATCTTGAAGCGTGGATTCCGATTGGTCAGACCAGCATTAAGTAGTCCTTAGCACGAGTGCTTCCTGTTTGAGTTTCTGCCTATAGGAAGGGGGGAGCAAAATGGAGTCGTGGTCAGATTTGCCGAAAGGAGGTCGGGGGAGGGCCTTGTAGCATAGAGGAAATTAGTGTAGCAGTGATCCAGTGTTTTTCCAGTGTGAGTGTAACAGTGTTGCTTCCGTCCCTCTCCTCGCCCCTACCTGGGCTTGAACCAGGGACCCTCTGCACACATCGACAACAGTCACCCTCGAAGCACCGTTACCCGTCGCTCCACAAAAGCCACGGCCCTTGCAGAGCAAGGGAAACAACTACTTCAAGGTCTCAGAGCGATTGACGTCACCGATTGAAACGCTACTAGTGCGCACCGCTAACTAGCTAGCCATTTCACACCGGTTACACGAGTGCTACAGTCAATATGCTGATAGAATTTAGGTAGCCTTTTCCTCAAATTTGCTTTGTTAACATCCCCAGCTACAATAAATGCAGCCTCAGGATATATAGTTTCCTGTTTGCATAAAGTCCAGTGAAGTTCCTTGAGGGCCGTTGTGGTATCGGCTTGAGGGATATACACGGCTGTAACAATAACCGAAGCGAATTCTCTTGGGAGATAATACGGTCTGCATTTGATTGTGAGGAATTCTAGGTCAGGTGAACAAAATGACTTGAGTTCCTGTATGTTGTTACAATTATACCATGAGTCATTAATCATGAAACAAATCCCCCCACCCTTCTTCTTCCTGGAGAGATGTTTATTCCTGTCGGCGCGATGTACTGAGAACCCAGATGGCTGTATGGACGGGGACAGTATATCCCGAGAGAGCCATGTTTCCGTGAAACAGAGTATGTTACAATCTCTGATGTCTCTCTGGAAAGCAACCCTTGCCCTGATCTCGTCCACTTTGTTATCTAGGGACTGGACATTAGCAAGTAATATACTCGGAAGCGATGTGTGCGCCTCCTAAGTCTGACTAGAAGACCGCTCTGGCTGCCTCTCCAGCGGCGTTGTTTTGGGTCGGCCTCTGGAATCAGTTCCAATGCCCTGGGTGGTGCGGACAAAGGATCCGCTTCGGGAAAGTCGTATTCCTGGTCATAGTGTTGGTAAGTTGACGCCGCTCTGATATCCAATAGTTCTTCCCAGCTGTATGTAATAACAGTTAAGATTTTCTGAGCTAACAATGTAAGAAATAATACATGCAAAAACAAAATACTGCAAAGTTTCCTAAGTACTAGAAGCGAGGCAGCCCTCTCTGTCGGAGCCATTTTCCCACTCTGTATTGCTATAGAATTGTCAGTTCCACTTTAAGTGATAAGGTGCTCCATAGAACAAAGAGGAGCTGGCAGGGTGAATTGTGGAATATTGCCCTAAAATAAGGCCTGTTTTTTTTGTTGCAATTACTTCAAACTACAGCAAGCAGTTGGGACATACGGTAATATTATGAAACTGGGCTCCATGGCGGATGCAGTTTACTAATTTTAATCAGAAAAAGCGTTGTTAAAAATCTCATGTGTCCAGCCTAGTTATGAGTCAACCCGCACATCACTAGTGCATAATGACAGACCACTTCTCTACAGTGGGGAAAAAAAGTATTTAGTCAGCCAACAATTGTGCAAGTTCTCCCCCTTAAAAACATGAGAGAGGCCTGTAATTTTCATCATAGGTAGACGTCAACTATGACAGACAAATTGAGGAAAAAAAATCCAGAAAATCACATTGTAGGATTTTTTATGAATTTATTTGCAAATTATGGTGGAAAATAAGTATTTGGTCACCTACAAACAAGCAAGATTTCTGGCTCTCACAGACCTGTAACTTCTTCTTTAAGAGGCTCCTCTGTCCTCCACTCGTTACCTGTATTAATGGCACCTGTTTGAACTTGTTATCAGTATAAAAGACACCTGTCCACAACCTCAAACAGTCACACTCCAAACTCCACTATGGCCAAGACCAAAGAGCTGTCAAAGGACACCAGAAACAAAATTGTAGACCTGCACCAGGCTGGAAAGACTGAATCTGCAATAGGTAAGCAGCTTGGTTTGAAGAAATCAACTGTGGGAGCAATTATTAGGAAATGGAAGACATACAAGACCACTGATAATCTCCCTCGATCTGGAGCTCCACGCAAGATCTCACCCCGTGGGGTCAAAATGATCACAAGAACGGTGAGCAAAAATCCCAGAACCACACGGGGGGACCTAGTGAATAACCTGCAGAGAGCTGGGACCAAAGTAACAAAGCCTACCATCAGTAACACACTACGCCGCCAGGGACTCAAATCCTGCAGTGCCAGACGTGTCCCCCTGCTTAAGCCAGTACATGTCCAGGCCCGTCTGAAGTTTGCTAGAGTGCATTTGGATGATCCAGAAGAGGATTGGGAGAATGTCAGATGAAACCAAAATATAACTTTTTGGTAAAAACTCAACTCGTCGTGTTTGGAGGACAAAGAATGCTGAGTTGCATCCAAAGAACACCATACCTACTGTGAAGCATGGGGGTGGAAACATCATGCTTTGGGACTGTTTTTCTGCAAAGGGATCAGGACGACTGATCCGTGTAAAGGAAAGAATGAATGGGGCCATGTATCGTGAGATTTTGAGTGAAAACCTCCTTCCATCAGCAAGGGCATTGAAGATGAAACGTGGCTGAGTCTTTCAGCATGACAATGATCCCAAACACACCGACCGGGCAACGAAGGAGTGGCTTCGTAAGAAGCATTTCAAGGTCCTGGAGTGGCCTAGCCAGTCTCCAGATCTCAACCCCATAGAAAATCTTTGGAGGGAGTTGAAAGTCTGTGTTGCCCAGCGACAGCCCCAAAACATCACTGCTCTAGAGGAGATCTGCATGGAGGAATGGGCCAAAATACCAGCAACAGTGTGTGAAAACCTTGTGAAGACTTACAGAAAACGTTTGACCTGTGTAATTGCCAACAAAGGGTATATAACAAAGTATTGAGAAACTTTTGTTATTGACCAAATACTTATTTTCCACCATAATTTGCAAATAAATTCATAACAAAATCCTACAATGTGATTTTCTGGAATTTATTTTCTCATTTTGTCTGTCATAGTTGACGTGTACCTATGATGAAAATTACAGGCCTCTCTCATCTTTTTAAGTGGGAGAACTTGCACAATTGTTGGCTGACTAAAAACGTTTTTTCCCCACTGTATGTGGCCATCTATGGATATTGATTGTCTTTTTGGGCCGGGCGTCAGTTAACTGCAGTACCAAAGCAAAACTGTAGGAGCAGTCGAAACCGTGCATCTAGATCGGAATTCTCTCTAATACAGTATCTCTGGCCTGGTCCCTTGGTCAGAACCCGGGCCTGGCTGGAATAAAGATCAAGAAGAAATATCAACAACAGCAGCTCTGCTGTGCGAGTGATAGCGAGAGAGAAGATACGAGACTCGTTTCTAACATTTGTTGAATTCTGTTCATTGCTACTGTATAGCATTTGTAGTATAAATCATTGTTGTTATTTAGCGCAAATATGTCTTTGTTCGGGAAGTTATTTGGCACTGGGAGTAAAGGGGAGAAATCGACTAGCCCTCAGGAGGCGATCCAGCGACTTAGAGACACAGAGGAAATGTTGACGAAGAAACAGGAATTTTTGGAGAAAAAGATTGACCAGGAACTCCTCACTGCGAAAAAGAATGGCACAAAAAATAAAAGAGGTGAGACCTATCAGAGATGCGCTCTTAATGTATTAGCTATCTGGCTCGCTTGTTAGCCAACAACTTGACAGGAAGAAGGAAGTTGATAGTTAGAGTTCGTTTTAGCTAACGCTAACTTCAAGCATGTGTGTGAGCCTGTAGCTAGCTAGCTAACACAGCTAGCTAGTTAGCCGAGTATGGTACGTTAACAATTATTGAGCAATATGCCAGGTGGCAATGCTATTATTGATTTGATAACGTTAAAATATTGCTGCTTTATGTATAGGTTAGTAGCTAGCTAACGTTATATAGCTCTGTAGCCTACTAGCTAGCTGTAACTTTATCTGGGAAACTAACGTTACTTCTCTGAAGCCATTTCATGGCACCTGACGTTGTAACTATCATGGACGACATGGTCCTAAGACTTCATGCCTCTTCCTAAGTGACTTGCTACCTTAACTATTCTGAATATGTAATACACTGCTAACCTACTATACAAACAGGCCTACAACCTGATTGTCATGAAAGTTGCTGTCCCTGCAAGCCTTTCACATAGGAATGTTTGCTTTTATTAAAACATAAATTAATCATGTACTCTAACAACCCGATTCATTGGCAGACTAAACTCATAAGGTGTATTTCCGACACCTACTGTACGGGGTAGTAAAATATATTTTGGATGAAGAAAAAAAAAATCATACTAATTAACAACAACACTAACCAAATTCACCCTACTACCCTGAATTTAAAACAAAAAACTGTACTCCTTCAGTCATATTATATGTCTGTTCAGATCCCTGCTCAGGAACCTCGGAGGGGGGAACCTCTTCTTTCAGTACTCCCTGTAACATTTCGTCTAGTCCTAGAGATCCAGAAATCTATTTGCAGCCTTCACAATTATGTCTAGCTTTTCTTCTATGAGGTTTAACGGCAGTTGGCATCCAATAAATGTTGCATTACCGCCACCTACTAGACTGGAGTATAACTCCCTTATACTTTGCTTGAAAAGAAGAATGAAATATATTTTTATTTTTTATTCAACATACCCTACCATTGAACACTACACTCACTAAAAATGCACCACCCTACTCCACTATTTAAATCTATCTAGTCCTACATCAGGCCAACAGCCTGAAAGGACGGGACACCACCACTCAACACACCCTGTAACTCTTCTGACGTCAAGTCTTTTACACCCAAATACCTCTCTGCAGCTGCCACCACAACCTCAATTTTCTGTGACTTACATTCCATCCCTGCAGTACAGTTGATAACCATTGCTATAAATGCTAAAAAAATCAAATCTTACTGAAGCATATATCACTTGTTGGCCTATCCCTCTGTACTGGTACAGATCTACTACTCACACCACTCCTCTCAGGATCCCTCCCCCTTGACCCATCTTCCTCTACTTCCTTCACTACCTCAGCATACGACAACTACTACACTACTCTAACCCTGGAAACCTCAACCTGCCTCTCTCACACAGGACATTTCTGATCCCCAGCCCCATGGGCACCCCTACAATTAACACATACCACTACTTTCCCCAATGCTTCACATTCCGCTGTCTCGTGCCTTTCTGCACACTTCTCACACCTAGGAACCGCTCTCCTACATACTGCTGCCACATGCCCATAAACTTGACACCTGTAACAAGGTAATGTATTCGGCACAAAAGCTCGTACAGGATAACTTATATCACTTTGTTGGGCAAAGACTGAACATCAAAACTCAAAAGAACAGACAATGACTTTTCTGTTTCACCACTCATGCCCCCCTGTCTGCGTCGCACCAAGCGACGAGCATCCCAAACACCGGGAATCTTCCCCTTCAGTTGGTCAACGTTCACATTTACCGCTACCCCCAGTAATCTCTTTTCAATTGCGCCCTTTTCTTGAGAGCAAAACAATTCACATCTCTTATCCGCATTCGTTTAACGCGGTGCACCTGCTCCCTCTGACCAGCAGAAACACAAACAATTATCACCAGACCACTTCTGGTTACCTTCACCGATTCCACAACACCAACAATTTTTTCACCCACCCTGAAACAACAAATGGATCAGCCAAAAGGCAAGGGTCCACTTTTCCCAAAATGTCACTCCGACCGTCACAAACTCATCTTTATCCTGACCATCGGTGCAAGACTCGGGTTTTGAGAACTTCGCCACACCTTCCGCCCCTCACTCACTTCCATTTCTCCTCCAGTCACTCTACTTACACTTTCTACCATTCTTCTTTAACAAACCATCTCCTTTTTTCCCGCCATTTTAACCGATTCAAGCTCACCCTCTTCCTCCCTCTCTCTCTTCGACCTCCTCTGCCTCTCTTTTTCCCTCCATTCCTCCTCCGTATTCCAAGTGCATTCGGAAAGTATTCGGACTCCTTGACTTTTTCCACATTTTGATACATAACAGCCTTATTCTAAAATCGATAACATTTATTTTTCCCCCTCATCAATCTACACACAATACCCCATAATGACAAAGCGAAAACAGGTTTTTAGACATTTTAGCACATTTATAAAATAAAGATACCTTATTTACATAAGTATTCAGACCCTTTGCTATGAGACTCGAAATTGAGCTCAGGTGCATCCTGTTTCCATTGATCATCCTTGATGTTTCTACAACTTGATTTGAGTCCACCTGTGGTAAATTCAATTGATTGGACATGATTTGGAAAGGCACACACACTGTCTATGTAAGGTCCCACAGTTGACAGTGCATGAAAGAGCAAAAACCAAGCCATGAGGTCGAAGGAATTGTCCGTAGAGCTCTGAGACAGGATTGTGTCGAAGCACTGATCTGGGTAAGGGTACAAAAAAATGTCTGCAGCATTGAAGGTCCCCAAGAACCAGAGTTCCTCTGTGGAGATGGGAGAACCTTCCAGAAGGACAACTATCTCTGCAGCACTCCACCAATCAGGCCTTTATGGTAGCGTGGCCAGACAGAAGCCACTCCTCAGTAAAAGGCACACGACAGCCCGCTTGGAGTTTGCCAAAAGGCACCTAAAGACTCTCAGACCATGAGAAACAAGATTCTCTGGTCTGATTGAACTCTTTGGCCTGAATGCCAAGCGTCACGTCTGGAGGAAACCTAGCACCATCCCTACGATGAAGCATGGTGGTGGCAGCGTCATGCTGTAGGGATGTTTTTCAGCGGCAGGGACTGGGAGACTAGTCAGGATCGAGGGAAAGATGAACGGCGCAAAGTACAGAGAGATCCTTGATGAAAACTGGGGCAAAGGTTCACCTTCCAACAGGACATCGACCCTAAGCACACAGCCAAGACAACGCAGGAGTGGCTTCGGGACAAGTCTCTGAATGTCCTTGAGTGGCCCAGCCAGAGCCCGGACTTGAACCCGATCAAACATCTCTGGAGAGACATGAAAATAGTCGGGCACCAATGCTCCCCATCCAACCTGACAGAGCTTGAGAGGATCTGCAGAGAAGAATGGGAGAAACTCCCCAAATACAAGTGCCAACTTGTAGCGTCATACTCAAGAAGCCTCGAGTCTGTAATCGCTGCCAAAGGTGCTTCAACAAAGTACTGCGTAAAGGGTCTGAATACTTATGTAAATGTGATATTTCAATTTTTTTTTTTTACACATTTTGCAAAAAATATAAAAAAACCTGTTTGCTTTTTCATTATGGGGTATTGTGTGTAGATTGAGGGGAAAATAACAATTTAATCCATTTTAGAATAAGGCTGTAACGTAACAATGTGGAAAAAGTCAAGGGGTCTGAATACTTTCGGAATGCACTGTACATCTCCTTATGATAATACTGCTGCACTTCTCCTGACATGCATCTTGTTCTTGCCCTCTCAAGGGACGCCATTTTCCTTCCTCCACTTGTCTCTCTAGTCAAAGTGGCTTTCACACCAATTGCGTGCGCTGCAGGATTTTAATCCATGACGGCGTAGTGTGTTACTAATGGTTTTCTTTGAGACTGTGGTCCCAGCTCTCTTCAGGTCATTGACCAGGTCCTGCCGTGTAGTTCTGGGCTGATCCCTCACCTTCCTCATGATCATTGATGCCCCACGAGGTGAAATCTTGAATGGAGCCCCAGACCGAGGGTGATTGACCGTCATCTTGAACTTCTTCCATTTTCTAATAATTGCGCCAACGGTTGTTGCCTTCTCACCAAGCTGCTTGCCTATTGTCCTGTAGCCCATCCCAGCCTTGTGCAGGTCTACAATTTTATCCCTGATGTCCTTACACAGCTCTCTGGTCTTGGCCATTGTGGAGAGGTTGGAGTCTGTTTGATTGAGTGTGTGGACAGGGGTCTTTTATACAGGTAACGAGTTCAAACAGGTGCAGTTAATACAGGTAATGAGTGGAGAACATGAGGGCTTCTTAAAGAAAAACTAACAGATCTGTGAGAGCCGGAATTCTTACTGGTTGGTAGGTGACCAAATACTTATGTCATGCAATAAAATGCAAATTAATTACTTAAAAATCATATAATGTGATTTTCTGGATTTTTGTTTTAGATTCCGTCTCTCACCGTTGAAGTATACCTATGATAAAAATTACAGACCTCTACATGCTTTGTAAGTAGGAAAACCTGCAAAATCGGCAGTGTATCAAATACTTGTCCTCCCCACTATGTATATATATATATATATATACTAGATGACTGACAGGAGGCACTGTTTTGAAGCCACCGCGCCTCCACCTTGGCACTCCCCCACCGTCATAAAAAATATTTTGGAAGCTATAGAAATGCATTTATTAATGTCTACATTTGTTATTGCCACATTTATTCTATTACGTACACCTTAATGCATACTTAAAAATCATATGTGAGTTTAACATAAAAATGAAAACATTTTCCTTACTAATGTACTAATGTTACTGTCCCCACAATATATTTTTTTAAATACATGTAATTTGGTCCTTAACATTTAATTACACTAGAATTCCATTAATTCTAATAGGGGACTGCTCCTTCCCAGGAGTGCCAATATGGCCGACCGGTGGCTTCAAAGCCTATCATTGGCCAATACAGAGCATCAGCAATCCAGGGTTTATATATATGTGTGTGTATATATATATATATATATATATATATATATATATATATATATATCATTGTTTAACACACAAGCGACAACCGCCAGTGACCACGGCGACGAAATGAACATTATCGACATGCGAAAAGTGAATTGCTATAACACCATAAGGATGCATAAAAACCTATTTACATACGAAATAAATGATTAATCTAAAAATAGATTAGAAAACTGATTTTTTATGTTAAACGTGACTCTGTAACTGATAGTTTTAGCCAGCTGGCTAGCGTTGGCAAGCTAGCTGGTCCTGTTGTTTGGAACGTACGCGCTGCGGTATCACCACACAGGCTACGTTTCTACTATGATTGGTCAAAGACGGCGCCGCTTCAATAATAGAGAAAAGACCAGAAAGGCTTCTCATAAACTTAAATGGAAGTAGTGCGTCAAAACGCAAGCAGTTTTGCAAGCGGCGCGGTTCGTGGTGCTCTCTCCCGTAAGCTGCGCCGCTGGCTTGGCGCTCGATGAGCCTATAGATTAAATTAGCTGAAGTCTTGAGCGGCCGCAGCGCATGGTTGACCAATGAGCAGATTTCATATTGTCAACCAATCAAACAATGTCTTAATGACAACATTGGAGCTGACAACAAACGGGATCGCTGGTCTCTACACAAGGTAGGCGGATTTTGTCTGGGCTCAATTGCTGTTTACGTCTAAAGGCCTGAATCCTATTTTCTCCACCCTCGGCTGAGCGGCATGCCCCCCCCCCCGCCTAGGCTTAATTGAAAATCAATGGGCCACCCCCCCCCGCCGCTTTCTGTCTGTGAGTGCCTTAAGGGGCACAATTGCAACATTGGACCCATTTCCCACAACAGATATTTGTTTTTCAAAGGCCAAACCTTGTTGAGGAGTGATAGTAGAGCAGCTATGATTGGCCAGCGAGGTGATTAGACTTGACACATAACAAGGTTAGGGTGTGTGCAGTAAAAGAGAGGCCTATGAGGTCAGGTAGTAAAACAACATTAAAGCAATAGAAATAGACACACACACACCTCAGTTTTGCTCTAGAAATGCGATTAAGCTGTAACCGATTTCCATGGCTCTGCTTCTCTCTCTAACACTCTGAGTTCCATGATAAAAATGTACCACGTTTTGCTAGATCTAATTTGGTTAACTCACACACATTGACCTGTTGATTACCAAAATATAGGGGTCCTTTTGATGGAGCTGTAATGCAATCCTTCAAACTATTGGACTGTTCAGATAATCAATAATTGAGTTGATTCTTTCAGTGCTTAATGATTGGTAGTCTCGCGTTACCATTCTCCTAATACTCGTCCGAATGAACATGCATGCAGGAAGCATGGAACTGATGCTAAATGATAGATCACCACATGCTTGAGTGGGCTATAGGGGGTGGTAGTGAAGCTGGTGGTAGTGCCTTCAGGTAGCCCTAGTTGTGGGGGAAATATTAGCATGTCAGGTGATGTCCCTGACATGTCAGTATGCAAGCTACCCTATGTTTATGGAGTAGCCTAACCTAGGAAACAGAAGCAAGCTGAAGCCACGGGACAGTAAGACATAATACACATTTTGTATCATTTTTGGTCACAAATGGAGCAGGCAAATGGTGTGTTCAAAAAGTACTCTTAGCATATGTGCTCAATCAAATAAAATGTGATCCAGAAATCTACAAGCTACAAAGTAACACCATCTTATCACGTCTAAGATACTTCACAGCCTGTCTCACCTCAATTAAGTACATATTGTAAGCTTGTGTAAGCCTTCTTATTGTAAGCTTATACATGGTCACCCAGTGAATACAGAGTCAAAACCAACCCAAGAAACGAGTCAATGGAACAACAAGGTTAGATTTTCTGTTGCAGTGCTTTAGGGCTATTGTGCTCCATTAGTATTCCCATCCCACAACCTCTCACAGTCGCCTCTCCTTCCTCTCCTCTTGCATCCAGCTGCTCTGCAGGCCTTGAAACGGAAAAAGCGGTACGAGCAACAGCTGGGCCAGATCGATGGCACGCTGTCCACCATTGAGTTCCAGAGGGAGGCGCTAGAGAACGCCAACACCAACACCGAAGTGCTGAAGAACATGGGCTTTGCCGCCAAGGCCATGAAGGCAGCCCATGAAAACATGTAAGTGCCACCGCCGCTTCTGTTGTTGTTGTTGTTGTTGTTGTTATTATTATTATAATGAACTGAAAAAAATATTTTGTAAACTGAAATAAAATAATTTACAAAACCGTTTTGAAAAACTAAACCTATACTGAAACTATTATATTTGACTCCAAAACTAACTAAAATAAAAACCATCATGGATTATGTTCAGATTTTTTTCTCTAAACTTTTGGAAAAAATCAAATGTGGTTTTCAAGCATTTATTTTCTTCTAATGGGGTTTGCAAGCTTCTGAATCTGGCGGGTAAATGCTGCCACGAGATGGCAATGTTTCACATAGGCTTAGCTTGTGCATCACTATCACCAGCTATCACTAGCTAACAGGGAAGAAATCTGCTAATTTCTGTCCCTAACACTAAAACTAAAAAATTTAATGTTTTTATAAAACTCAAACGAAATACAAACTAGTAAATCTGGTCTGAAAACTAACTGAAATTTAACCGAATTTTTTATAGAAATAAAAACGAATTTAAACACAACTATAATAACCTTGGTGAACACACACCTCTAAGAAGTGCCTCTGTTGACCTAGACCCACATTAATGTTCTACTTCACGTTTGTCCAGGAAAACGCATGAGGCAAAAAAAATAGTGACTAAACCTCAGAGTTGAAAATGCAATGGAAACCCATTTAACTTGTATTTTTTGTATTCGGTACATGAGAATTTAACCGTAAAAGTAAATTTTAAGTGCACTATGTCATCACGCACAGCCTTTTATCCACAACAAGATAATTTGATGGAAACGCATCACTAGTGGGAAAATGCGCGTATTGTTTCTATGCAGATTTTAGAATATTCGCATGAAAATCTGTCGCCAATTGGATGGAAACCTAGCTAATGAGTGAGACGAGGAATCCAAAGAAGTGGTCAAAAACCATCCACGGACCCCCCCCCCCCCCCCCCCCCCCACACCAATCCCACCCTAACAATGAGTATATAGTATCAGTTCTCTATGTTTGACAAGTAGCATGGAGCTGCGGCTCGGAGTATTGTTTCTTCATCCTATGTAATGTATTCTCAGTGAATTTGGTGGTGATTATTATAATTTATTTATTTTCTGTTCAGAGAAATTAGTCATTGAAGTTGTTAGGTTTATGTCCCATCCTACATCATGATAATACCAGGTTCTTACCACTAGATAGTGCTGTTCCTGCTATTAGGTGATTCTGTTTTAAAGAATCCCCCCCCTCCCCCCCATTGCCAATTGTTAAAGGGATAGTTCACCCAAATTACAAAATGACATATTGGTTTAATTAACCTGTGAGCAGTCTATGGACCAGGTATGAAAGTAACAAATGCTTTGGTTTTGTTTATCTGGCCACTGTTTCAAATGCAAACTTTTTATCATTTGTGTCACAATTCCAATGCAAGTCAATGGTACCTACACTGAGTGTATAAAACATTCTTTCCATGAGACTGACCATGTGAAAGCTGTGATCCCTTATTGATGGCACCTGTTAAATCACCTTCAATCAGTGTAGATGAAGGGGGGGAGACAGGTTAAACCCGGAAATCGAAGTAGCATAATAAATAAAATAAAAACATACAAATCTGTCAGTTTAAGCTAAAGATATGTTTCTTTGCATTGTATGCGTCTCAATCCACCGTATATGCCGACGTCGCACTTCCGCATCTGCGGTGAAACTTGACAGAGCTAGAGCGGTGTTTGTCAGACCATGAGATGTCCCAAAAATTGGTCTTCTCACAAAATTGTCTGTAGTGTCCGAACGGTTTAGCCTACAAACTATTATGAACCCTCTATGGAAAGATGAGACTCTCACAAACACGATGGTGTTCCATTTTGCTCTACGACCCCCACAAGCGTCTTGGGACTCTTCTGAAGTTGGTACAGCCGATCTGCCAACTTCGTCTGTAGCGTCCGAACAGTTTGGGCTACACACTAATATGAAAGGTGAGACTCTCACGAACACATCAGTTGTTTTTCTCTAGGACGGCTCACAAGACTCGTCTGAAGGTCCCCCGGTACCAGTACAAAATAAAATATGGACGTATATATGGAGACAGTTTAGTGCAAAGAATAAGGGGTTAAATACAAAAAAAAGTATATATATATAGATATATATAATATGTACATTGCTTGCAAAAGTATTCATCCCCCTTGTTGTTTTTCCTATTTTGTTGCATTACAACCTGTAATTTAAATGGATTTTTATTTAGATTTCATGTAATGGACATACACAAAATAGTCCAAATTGGTGAAGTGAAATGAAAAAAATTACTTATTTCAAAAAAATAAATAACAGAAAAGTGGTGCGTGCATATGTATTCACCCCCTTTGCTATGAAGCCCCTAAATAAGATCTGGTGCAACCAATTACCTTCAGAAGTGACATAATTAGTTAAAGTCCACCTGTGTGCAATCTAAGTGTCACATGATCTGTCACATGGTCTCAGTATATATACACCTGTTCTAAAAAGGGTCTGCAACACCCAGAGTCTGCAACACCACTAAGCAAGGGGCACCACCAAGCAAGCGGCACCATGAAGACCAAGGAGCTCTCCAAACAGGTCAGGGACAGAGTTGTGGAGAAGTACAGATCAGGGTTGGGTTATAACAATTATACGAAACTTTGAACATCCCACGGAGCACCATTAAATCAAATTTTAAAAATGGAAGGAATATATTGCTCAACAACAAACCTGCCAAGAGCGGGCCACCCACCAAAACTCACGGACCAGGCAAGGAGGGAATTAATCAGTGAGGCAACAAAGAGACCAAAGATAATCCTGAAGGAGCTGCAAAGCTCCACAGCGGAGATTGGAGTATCTGTCCATAGGACCATTTTAAGCCGTTTAAAGCGGGGCTTTATGGAAGAATGGCCAGAAAAAAGCTGTTGCATAAAGAAAAAAATAAGAAAACACGTTTGGTGTTTGCCAAAAGCCATGTGGGAGACTCCCCAAACATATGGAAGAAGGTACTCTGGTCAGATGAGACTAAAATTGAGCTTTTTGGCCATCAAGGAAAACGCTATGTCTGGTGCAAACCCAACACCTCTCATCACCCCAAGAACACCATCCCCACAGTGAAGCATGGTGGTGGCAGCATCATGCTGTGGGGATGTTTTTCATCGGCAGGGACTGGGAAACTGGTCAGAATTGAAGGAATGATGGATGGCGCTAAATACAGGGAAATTCTTGAGGGAAACCTGTTTCAGTCTTCCAGAGATTTGAGACTGGGATGGAGGTTCACCTTCCAGCAGGACAATGACCCTAAGGATATTGCTAAAGCAACACTCAAATGGTTTAAGGGGAAACATTTAAATGTCTTGGAATGGCCTAGTCAAAGCCCAGACCTCAATCCAATTGAGAATCTGTGGTATGACTTAAAGATTGCTGTACACCAGCGGAACCCATCCAACTTGAAGGAGCTGGAGTAGTTTTGCCTTGAAGAATGGGCAAAAATCCCAGTGGGTAGATGTGCCAAGCTTATAAAACCAAGAGTGTGCAAAGCTGTCATCAAGGCAAAGGGTGGCTATTTGAAGAATCTCAAATATTTTGATATGTTTAACACTTTTTTTGGTTACTACATGATTCCATATGTGTTATTTCATAGTTTTGATGTCTTCACTGTTATTCTACAATGTAAAGAATTGTAAAAATAAAGAAAATCCCTTGAATGAGTAGGTGTGTCCAAACTTTTGACTGGTAGTGTGTATATATGTATATGTTCCTCAGCTATAGGACAGACACTTCAGAACAAACTTCCTTTTTATAATTTTTCCATGTAGTGAATATGTTACTCATTGCATTTGTATGGGCTAATAGTAGTAAGGCCAAATATAATTGATCAAATAATTGTTTTATATATTTCTTAATTCAAAATCAAATAGCTAAATGATCCTTGGTATGACCTTAAAGCAATTCCATATAGCTTATTAGAATGCAAAGTGACTCTCATAAATATCTGCAGTGAGGTTGATTTTCATTTTCCATATCTCTATCCTAAATCTTTTCAATATAAATGTTTGGGAATCTCATCATTTTCAGCTTATGGTGTAGTAATATCATAAAATGGCTTCTGCCAGAAAATCTTTCAGAATGCCTCTATTCTTTCTGATTTTGCTATGGATGATTAAATGGTCTTTTTGTGTTTTTGCCCACAGGGACATAGACAAAGTGGACGACTTAATGCAGGACATCACAGAGCAGCAGGAGCTGGCTCAAGAAATCTCTGATGCTATTTCTAAACCTGTAGGTTTCGGAGAGGAATTTGATGAGGTAAGCTGAGCTAGGATGTTTCCTATACCGCAGTGCTTCCCAAACCTTTTCACTCCCCCCCCCCCCCATTTGAGAAGATCCGGTCACAGCACACATTTCCTAGGTGGCGAAGGTCTGGATCGATATTGTCATTTATTGGCTTAGTCCCAAACCCCCACCTCGTGACCCATGCAACCTCCGCAACCTGCGCCACGTCTATTTCTATGGGTACAAGCTTTGTCCATGACAGAAACTGCACATCCCTCTTGTTTTGGAGGGGAAATGTTGCAGCTTTAAAGCTCCTACAATTATACACATTTGACCATGTCTTATGTGTGTTCATGTGATATTTGTGACCCAAACATTACATGTCAATGGGCTAAAAAACATTAGCTGACATGGGCTAGTTGATCAACTGGACATTTCTGACAAGTTATAAATAGCTCGCTAAGGTCTGCAATGACTGACATAACGAGGAAAACTGCTGATGCACTACCCAATTTCGAAATTGAACCTTCTGCATGTACTATTATACATTTCAAGTTGAAAGCCTGACTGTGTTCCTTTTTTTTGTATTTGTTAATCTCCCCCACCTGCTGACCCCTGGGGGGGCACGGCCCAATGTTTGGGAACCACTGCCATACTGAATCAGACTAAAGGCGTTTGTCGTTGTTTTGAAATGTATCCTTATCTTCTTTGGATATATAGACCTGTCTAACCCTTTTAATTATGTATCTTTCTTTGTCTAGGATGATCTCTTAGCAGAATTGGAAGAACTGGAACAAGAGGAACTAGACAAAAACCTGCTGGAAATCGCCGGCACAGAGAATGTACCGCTGCCAAATGTGCCCTCCACATCCTTACCTGCAAGACCAGCAGGTAATGGATATATTGGCTTAGCCACTAAACCTTAGCCAGCTTTAATGCTAGCTCATGTCTCTGAAGTAAACTGACAGGAATTGATTTGACATTATAAAATACTGTCTACACACACACACTTCTTATTCTGAAAACTGGATGCATCTACCTGTAAAGTTTTCCCAGTAGTAGAAGGATTTTACAGTTTCCAACCAATATTTTGCCAGACATTAGCATATGCTACCTGACTTCTATTCAAATCCGAACGTTTTTTTTGTCAATCTTTATAGGCCGATTTTTTTTATAAATTGTACTAACTCTATCAAATGAATGTGGTTAATTCTTACAGCAAAGAAGGAGGAAGACGAGGATGACATGAAGGATCTGGAGGCATGGGCCGCAAACTAGTCACTGCTGTTACTCCATACCTTCTACAGGTGGAGAATAAGAACTCTATGGTTTAGTGTGATGTTTGTTTCAGGAAGGAATAGGAAAGGTCTATGAATAAATGGAGACTTTAAAAAAAAAACGGAGAAAACATCGACTCGACAACCTTTCGCTTACTGTCAATCTCAGCCTCCTAAAGAGGGAAGATGGCATGTTGTACCTTCGACAACCGAAAACCCTGAATCTCTGGAGCGACCAAACAGAAAAAGCTAATTAAATATGTTTTTCTTTAAGTCCCTCAACTCATTCTCTTCTGTAAAGCATTGCTGCACTCCTTGCACCCCCCTTCTCTTAGCGCACAGAATATATTTTGAAAAGAAAGTGTAAAAATGACTCCGCAACACTGACAATAAGCTTCAATGTAGAATTTCTAATACCTCATACCGTTTTATGTGTAGTGCGACAATACGTTGGAAGATATTACAATACCCTGTTCATTTTTGTTGTTGATGCACAATATCCCTTTGGCGTCATGTGTTCACATGGCAATCCGCTGTTATTTAATCCGTTTATCAAGATATGCACTTAAAATATACCTATTGTACATTATATTTATTAATAGCTATGTCCAGCGGGGAGAATTTGATTCCCATCTTTAGGGCTATCGGTGTTGGTCTTACATTTTTATTTTGGCAGGATTTATTGAACTATATCATGAATATCTTTCCAGAGACTCTGGCTTTCAAACGTGCAAATATCTATGAGGGCAACTCCACAAGGTATCCTTGAAATGCTTCTCTGGGTAATGGTTCACACGGTTATCTTTCTTTGATGTGACAGAACCTAACCAACTAGTTACATTTTGCAAACACATTGACATTTCTCTTGAAATATGTCTATACTGTATCTGTTCCAACTGAAGTGACTGAGTGAGATTGTGAGTGTTTGTTAATTTTCATCTTTAAGAAACAACACTATAGAAGGTTTAAAAAAAAAAAAATTGTTAGGATGTTTGGGATTTTCTGAGTAATGGAATGTGATGTGTGTGTGAAGCAAGAATAAATTGATTGTATTCAGACTCCAAATTACAGGCATTGTGGCTTTCCTGAGTTGGTCAACTTACCCCACTACTTTATTATTCGACCTGCTGCTTCAGACTTCATATTTTCTTTGTTTCTCTCAAATATCTATTTTCTGTCTAAATTCCACCTTCAGAAGGGGAAATTAACTAATGTATGACCGCATTATGTTATGTCTGACATGCCTTGATATACCATAGGTTGTGTGTGTTTGTACACGGGGCTGTCGCTTGCGATCTGGTTCCTGTTTTTCTTTGGTCTGTCTTCCTACCCTGCCTATCACAACTTGCCCTTGTTTTAATGGAACACCTCAATTAAACCTTTTGCCAAGTTGTGCGCTGTGTGTTTCCTTTTTTTAAACTAAGAAAATCTGTTAATTCCTTTATCAAGAACTGTTGGTCAGAGTTATGGCAAGAGCTTGTGATGAGATCTATACTAGGGCCAGGGTTCATGTAATAGTAAGTGTTGGGTCAAAGGTTATGGTTGGGCAAGGGCTATTCTTAGGCCACAGTCATCTGCTGAAAAAGTATTGAGATCATGTACCATGTTTTAACCTAAATACTTAAAAGTATTTTTGTTTGGAATGGAAGGGAACTACAGTGGGACTGTTTTTATTACCTTATTTTTGTCAAATATAAATAATTATGTTGACAAGGCCCAAGTTAGAAAGTTCTAATTATAATAAATTATATAATTGTATACTGAACAAAAATATAAACCCAACAATTTCAACGATTTTACTGACTTAAAGTTCATATAAGGAAATCAGTCAATTGAAATGAATTCATTAGGCCCTAATCTATGGATTTCACATGACTGGGGAGCCAGGCCAGAAGCCATGGGTGGGCCTGGGAGGACATAAGCCCACCCACTGGGGAGCCAGGCCAGCCAATCACAATGAGTTTCTTCCCCACAAAAGGGCTTTATTACAGAAAGAAACATTCCTGAGTTTCATCAACTCCAAGTGGCTGGTCTCAGACGATCCCACAGGTGAAGAAGCTGGATGTGGGGGTCCTGGGCTGGCGTGGTTACAAGTGGTCTGCGGTTGTGAGGCTGGTTGGACATACTGCCTAATTCTCTAAAATGACGTTGGAGGAGGCTTATGGTAGATAAATGAACATTCAATTATCTGGCAACAGCTCTGCTGGACATTCCTGCAGTCAGAATGCTATTTGCACACTCCCTGAAAACTTGAGACATCTGTGGCATTGTGTTATGTGACAAAACTGCAAATGTTAGAGTGGCCTTTTATTGTCCCCAGCATAAGGTGCCGCTGTGTAATGATCATGCTGTTTAATCAGCTTCTTTATATGGTTTATGGATTATATTGGCAAAGGAGAAATGCTCACTAACATGGATGTAAACACATTTGTGCACAACATTTGAGAGAAATAAGCTTTTTGTGTGTATGGAAAATATTTTATTTCAGCTCATGAAACATGGGACCAACACTTTACATGTTGCGTTTATATTTTTGTTCCGTGTAATTTCATCCTTTGAATTGTGTGGATAACTCAGAGAGACGAAACAGAGGCAGATTATAGGGAATCGCTATAGATGGGACACAAGTTTTAGGTCAGTCTTCCAATTAGTGTGTGCACAGCCCTGTCAATGCATTTCTTTGTTTGCATAAAACCTTATTGCTTATATAAAAAGCTGTGTATTTAGGCTGTGTCAGCTCTTACGATCCCTATTTAAATCTAATATACCCCAATGTATCATTTTTGGTAACACTTCCTTTGAAGGTTGCATACATAAAGCATAACACAACAACACAGTCGTTAGGGTTTGAGTAACATTCATAAAGACCTTCAATGAAGCCTCTTTGTCCTTCCTGACAATGTTGAATAGTATGTCACTTATCTTGGCAGAGAAAACACTGTATGCCTGACCTGACTACCTGGTGCTCCAGGATGTGTTACCTCATTTTGATCATTCATGTGTATGGACAGCCCTTTTGTAACTTGGCTGAAAATATGCAGTGGTTATGCAACAGGCTTATTCAATATCATGTCCATACTTGATTGAAGGAGTTTGGTTGACTCTTCCACTTGTAATATGCTGCTGCATCCGAGCTTAGTCATGCAATGTGTATTTGAGAAGTAATTGGGGGGTTTGGTGTCCAATTATAGCAAAGCCAGCATTGCTGTCTAACCTCCACACTGCAAACAGTGTTTTACTTTCTCATGGTCTTTCCCAAACTTTTCTTTTTTTATGTAAAATGCCTTAAGTGCATAGAAAACATGCCTGTACATAAATATGTACACATCCGCATAGAGGCTAATGTTTCTTTTTACACCCTCCACTTAGGTTGTTTTTAAAGGGAGTTTCATGACTGGAATGGAAATCTAAGGTCAATCAAACAATGTTTCATCATGACACACAGCTAGTTTATGGTTATATCATGAATGGGGTGTTGCAGTTCAGATGTGTCATGTGATTTCCTCATGAACTGTAAACCCATTTATCAAACACAGAAGAACTAAAGGGGGATATAATTAAATAGAACACTTACACATACTTTAATGAAGGTAGGCCTATAGTGATTTGTTTTTGGTTATTACTATGTAATATTAGTGCTATAAAAAAAAACATTTTTATTGTCACATACACTGGATAGGTGTAGTGAAATGTGTTGTTTTACTTGGTCAGCCATAGTAGCATGGCACCCCTGGAACAAATTAGGGTTAAGTATCTTGTTCAAGGGCACAGACATATTTTTCACTTTGTCAGCTCAGGTATATGAACCATTAACCTTTCAGTTCCTGGAACAACACTCTCACCACTAGGCTATCTGCCACCCAATTATTAACTATTCGCTAAAAGAGGTTATGGTATGACACTGGTTTTGCTGTTTTTGAGACCCCATGGTTTTTCAAATCCCAAAAGACCAGAAGAAACTTGTGCCAATTGCATTGTGCCTTGTCAAAACTTAATTCTACTGTAAACCGCCAACACAATCACCTTGGGATTCGGTTTCTTATTGGCTGCCACTCTCCTGAGAGCCAGTTCGTTTTGCATGGCCCGTTGCCCCTGGTCAGTAGAGATTTTACTTAAGGACCAACGCAATTGTCTGTAATGTGCAAACTCTGCTCGCCCGTGGCGCCAGCCATTGCAAATCGAACTCGATTTCTTTCATACGGGGGCAGGAACATTCTCAGCCAATTGGAAACGTAATGTGGAAGATTGGCACGGAGACCTCATGAATATTACAAGTAAGCAAATTGACGGCTACTTAAATTCAAGTTCACAAACGTTCAACCCTCTCTCTCTGTCCAAAGCCAGGTAGCGACAACCACACATATCACGACGGTGACATCCAAAAGAACCAATCATGTCTGAGAAGCTTCCCTTCAAAGTCGGTCAGTATGAATTTACATTATTTATATTCTTTATCATACAGGCGAGCTTCAAGTCTATTATGCATTAACGGGTGGCTAGCCGGCTAGGTTAATGTCGGGTAGCACAGATTTTAGCATGCACATTTGGCTAGCTTGGCGCTATTTTAGCTGACTGTTATATCAAGTGATGGCTAGCTAAGTAGTTATGATTGGACATTTGGCTAACCAAACATTTGCAAATGTGTACTGGCATTTATAAACTTGTATAATCCAGTTCGGACTGACTGAACACGGTCCATTTGCCTGCAGGCTTTTATTTACTACAATGCTTTACCCATGCATAACCAGTAACAGCAGTTTTGGCATGCAATTCACATATATGCTAAGAGTTTTGTTACATTACAGAATGAATCGAGTCGACATGCAGACAACACTTGCCCACAAACGAGCATGGTTTCTTTCAGAAGACTTATCTATGTTCTTGGTAGTTGTAGTCCATTTAGTCGAGCCTAGTGCTTTCGTTTGTGTTCTGAGTTTGGTAGTAAAACTACATTACCTAAGTTTCAGTGCGCGATGCCGCCAGTTTTCCTTGATTGACAGGCAGTATGTCACCCTGGAGTCTGGCACAGGCAATGAAGGGAAATATGAGTGTACGATCTATCAAAGACAGTACAGTATGAAGATGGGCAGAAAGTGCTTCTCCACTAGATAACTCTTGTAAGCGACGTTGGCTAGCTAAACTCATGCGCAGAAACACGTCAGCGGGTCTAAACGCTCGTCTCGCGCCGAACTGCGCATGTGCAGGCCGTCAAATCAAAGGCACTGTCAGTCACTTTCAAGAGGTTGGCGTAATAACATGTTCAACAACTTAAAGGAAAGGTTCACCCACTTAAAAAAATTATGTTGTATTGTTTTCTTGCAACTGAGCGACGTTCTATTGATTCCCTGGATCATTTCATGTGCACTACACTGGAAGTTTAATAGGAATAACATGCTGACTAGAGTGGGCGCATGTTCATTTTGTCCAGACGCGATCAGGACACGCAGGTTGAAATATCAAAACGAACTCTGAACCAACTATATTAATTTGGGGACAGGTCGGAAAGCATTAAACATTTATGCTTTTGCTAGCAAATTTTTCTGGGATGTAAACATTGCATTGTTATTTTACCAGAAATGCACAAGGTCCTCTACTCCGACAATTATTCCACAGATAAAAGTGTTAATGGAGTTTGTTTCTAGTAATGGCTTCTTCTGCTAAAGACTTTATATGGCAGTTGGCAACCAACTTTAAGGTGCATTACCACCACCAACTGGACTGGCGTGTGGACCTCAGTTCATCTTTCAATCACCCACGTGGGTATATGACTGGAAGGAATTGCAAAAATCTCTGAAGCTGGAGACTCTTATCTCCCTCACTAACTTTAAGCATCAGTTGTCAGAGCACCTTACCGATCACTGCACCTGTACACAGCCCATCTGAAATTAGCCCACCCAACTACCTCATCCCTATATTGTTATTTATTTTGCTCTTTTGCACCCCAGTATCTCTATTTGCACATAATCTCTTGCACATCTAGCATTCCAGTGTTAATACTATTGTAATTATTTTGCACTATAGCCTATTTATTGCCTTACCTCCATAACTTGCTACAATTGCACACACTGTATATATATTTTCTGTTGTGTTTTTTTACTTTTTTTTTTACCCCATATGTAACTCTGTGTTTTTTTTTTTTTATTGCACTGCTTTGCTTTATCTTGGCCAGGTCACAGTTGTAAATGAGAACTTGTTCTCAACTGGCTTACCTGGTTAAATAAAGGTGAAATAAAAAAATTAAATAAAAATATATGTTCCTAAAAACCAATGAGGAGATGGGAGAGGCGGGACTTGTAGCGCTTCAAGCGTCACAAATGGAACCAAGATCTATTTTAGCGCCTGGCCACGCAGACGCTTGTTGACACGTGGGTGCAATGATTGAATGATGTGTACATTTATTTTGCAACGCTTGCGCACGCGACGCGAGCGATGTGGTCAGCATGTAAGACTTTTAGATTGGGAAAACATCATACATGTCAGATTTCAATACTGGCTGACGTCATAACTCGGGAGGATGTCTTCTCTCAAATGAGCCATTGGTCAAATTTTTGCGATATTCCTACCTCTAGACATTTTTTTTATTTAGGTGGGTCTAGAACATTTTTCCTATTTGTCTACCTCTTTAGTCCAAAGTTCATTGCGTGGTGTTGTTGCCATAGATATTATAGAAAGGAGTTGGAATCCAATGAATGAATGGACGTATAACACCCCACTCAGCAGACTGTCGACCAATCGTGTTCACGTTATCATGCTGTGTCACGCGGTTGCTAAGCTAATCGTCACGCAATACCTTTTCAAAGTCAGTGTATGTCGAGAAACGTGCCTATTTTCCTCAAGTACGTAATGTCACGATTACAAAGTTAATTATCTCAGAAAATATTTGAAATGTTGTACTTCTTGTTGATGAAATTCATGCTAATGTTGGGTTTTTGAGCTAGCGCTCAATATTTAACACTGTAAATTAAAGGAATTAGTGGTTTTGGGTGGATTTTTCCTTTAAGACATTGGCTCGAATCTAGGTTGTGCCTTTTTAGATGTACAGACAATTAAGGAATTTTTCACTTCGTGTTCAAGAGGATCAAAACCGCAATGTGTCATGGTAACTTGACTGACTGATCTACAAATAATGAGTCTTTATTTATGATGCAAGGTGATTTGTTGATCAGTCAGTCTGCAGTCGCCTGCAGTTGTTTTGATGCTCTCGAACATGGCCATTAGTGCTTTTTGAGGTCTGTTGGATAAAAAAAATGTATCACCGTTTTCTATTTATTTTTTACTTTAAATGCATTATGTGGGTTGAATGCTGTAACAACACAGAATACAACAATGAATAAAAGTCCCATGATGGTAATGACTGCATCACTTATTAACCATCATTTTTATTCACATTACTTTAAAATATTTCAGTTGTCTAAATTAATTTGTTTAATTTGCTGACTATTTTATTCCAAGTAATCTCATCTCTAGAGCTGCTGCCTATGCTGTCTGACAAAATCATCATCATTTTAGTAGCTCTTCAAAGTAAATATGGCCTACTTTTTTACCAGCTTTTTGTTGGGGGGGGGGGGGGGGGGGTTTACAGGTATATGTATCCATTTAAATGTTTAAGTTTATAAAACATGTACCCGTAGGCTGCCACAAAGAAAAACAGTAAGAAATGCATAGTTTTAAATAATAAACAAAGTGGGTCTCCACCCAACCCCACCCAGCCAACATGTCTCCATCCAATCGCTGTCAATTCTAATGTTATAACTCCTAATAGTAGCTGTATCCACTGGCGAATTGGGATAGAGTGAGGTGATTGCCATCTAAGAGCCAACATTAGCCAGCAGTAATAATCTCAGATTTAATGAGCTATCATCGTTAAGTGATGCAAATCATTGAATATTTACTTTCATGCACTTTGCCCCAGAAGCATTTAACTGCAGTTGGGAGTTGGGGCCAATTTCATCGTAAAATGTTTCCTAGGTGTTAAGTAGTCTGAACAAACGTATAAGATTATGATCACTTTATTGGTCAATTGCACACAAGGTTCAAGTGAAATTTTACTTTCGCTTTTAACCCAACCTGTGTTTTTTTTTTTTTTTTTTTTTTTTTTTTTCTCATGTTAACCCAACCCCTCGGAAAAGATGCATATACAGATTTTGGAGAGGTGTGGGGTGCTGCCACACTGGGCGCCCAGGGAGCTGTTGTGGGGGGTTAAGTCCCTTGCTCAAGGGCACAACTGCAGGAAATGGCATCTAGGATTTGATACCAGCAACCCTCCGTAAAAGGCACACTTTGAGTTTGCCAAAAGGCACCTAAAGGACTGACCATGAGAAACAATATTCTCTGGTCTGATGACACCAAGATTAAACTCTTTGGCCTGAATGCCAAGCGTCACCTCAGCGGAAACCTGACACCATCCCTACTGTGAAGTGTGGTGGTTGCAGCATCATGCTGTGGGAATTTTCTTTAAGCGGCAGGGACTAGGAGACTAGTCGGGATCGCAGGAAAGATGAACGGAGCAAAGTACAGAGATCCTTGATGAAAACCTGCTCCAGAGTGCTCAGGACCTCAGACTGGGGCGAAGGTTCACCCTCCAACAGGACAACGACCCTAAGCACACAGCCAAGACAATTCAGGAGTGGCTTCGGGACAAGTCCTTGAGTGGCCCAGACTTGAACCCGATCAAACATCTCTGGAGAGACCTGAAAATAGCTGTGCCGCGACGCTCCCCGTCCAACCCTACCAAGCTTGAGAGGACCTGCAGAGAAGAAGGGGAGAAACTCTCCAAATACAGGTGTGCCAAGCTTGTAGCGTCATACTCAAGGCTGTAATTGCTGCCAAAGTACTGAGTAAACAGTCTGAATATTTATGTTAATGTGATATCACAGTATTTTTTTATAAATGTGCAAAAATGTCAACCTGTTTTTGCTTTGTCATTATGGGGTATTGTGTGTAGATTGATAAATAAACTCAGCAAAAAAAGAAACGTCCCTTTTTCAGGACCCTGTCTTTCAAAGATAATTCGTGAAAATCCGAATTACTTCACAGATCTTCATTGTAAAAGGTTTCCATGCTTGTTCAATGAACCATAAACAATTAATGAACATGCACCTGTGGAACGGCCGTTAAGACACTAACAGCTTACAGACGGTAGGCAATTAAGGTCACAGTTATGAAAACTTAGGACACTAAAGAGGCCTTTCTACTGACTCTGATAAACACCAAAAGAAAGATGCCCAGGGTCCCTGCTCATCTGCGGGAACGTGCCTTAGGCATGCTGCAAGGAGGCATGAGGACTGCAGATGTGGCCAGGGCAATAAATTGCAATGTCCGTACTGTGAGACGCCTAAGACAGCGCTACAGGACGGACAGCTGATCGTCCTCACAGTGGCAGACAACGTGTAACAACACCTGCACAGTACACCCAAACAGCACACCTGCGGGACAGGTACAGGATGGCAACAACAGCCCGAGTTACACCAGGAACGCACAATCCCTCCATCAGTGCTCAGACTGTCCGCAATAGGCTGAGAGAGACTGGACTGAGGGCTTGTAGGCCTGTTGTAAGGCAGGTCCTCACCAGACATCACCGGCAACAACTTTGCCTATGGGCACAAACCCACCGTCGCTGGACCAGACAGGACTGGCAAAAAGTGCTCTTCACTGACGAGTCGCGGTTTTGTCTCACCAGGGGTGATGGTCGGATTCGCGTTTATCGTCGACGGAATGAGCGTTACACAGAGGCCTGTACTCTGGAGCGGGATCGATTTAGAGGTGGAGGATCTGTCATGGTCTGGGGCGGCGTGTCACACATCATCGGACTGAGCTTGTTGTCTTTGCAGGCAATCCAGGAATGTCAATGTTCTGTTCACGATCCCATTGAGCGCGTCTGGGACCTGTTGGATCGGAGGGTGAAGGCTAGAAATGTCAGGGAACTTGCAGGTGCCTTGGTGGAAGAGTGGGGTAACATCTCACAGCAAGAACTGGCAAATCTGGTGCAGTCCATGAGATGCACTGCAGTACTTAATGCAGCTGGTGGCCACACCAGATACTGACTGTTACCCCCCCCCCCCCCCCCCCTTGTTCAGGGACACATTATTCCATTTCTGTTAGTCACATGTCTGTGGAACTTGTTCAGTTTGTCTGTTGAATCTTATGTTCATACAAATATTTCCACACGTTAAGTTTGCTGAAAATAAACGCAGTTGACAGTGAGAGGACGTTTACTTATTCCATTTAGTTTGCCACTTTAAGACACTGACAGATTAAAACGCATGCTATCAGTAAAGTCACTTGATTTTTGGTCTCAGACCATTACATTTTTGTTTTTGTCATTTTTACATTTACATAATCCATGTTCTGGGGGCAGGGACTAAAATGACTACAGATCATTACTAACATCCACTACTGTTGTGCCCTTGAGCAATACACTTAACTCCTAAACTGCTCCAGGGGTGCTCTACTGCGGCTGACCCTATGCTGCTTCCACCATGTTGTGTGTTTGATCCTGGGGGTGTTGGAATAACATGCAGCAAATTCGGATTTGGAAGCCATCTATAATTAACAGACATAATGACATTTTCTGCCTGGGTTAATCCCTGATCAAAATCCAAACGGCTGTGCTGATCCACCGTGGGCTCTGCCGCCTCAGCCGTACTGGCAATCTATCATCAATACCTCCAGTGTTTTATGGAGTTTCTCGTGATCTCTGCAAAACCACTCATGATCATGCGATGAATAAGTGTGGTCTCGACATAACGAAGGAATTTCATTTAAAATTTATTTTTCTTATGTCCTCTCTGGACTTCTGTAGATTGTGCGTGGTGCACTAAATCCGTACTATGTGCTTTGACGGTTTAACTGGGAATTGGGCACAAGTTTAGTGATTTGAAAATTACCATTTGTTTTGAAAGTTCCTATTCCTGAAGTGAAAAATCCCCACTTGTTTGAAAGGGTTCCATGAAGCGACTCAAGTGAAACTATGTAACCTGTGTTTGTAGACACTTTTCTACCAGATGGGTATTACTTGGTTACATATAACTCTCCCATCTGCATCTTCTCGGTCCTCACTTGTCACCCCGGCACAGGTGTTTTTAGGAATAGAGGACTAGTTACTCAATGGCTTGATAGTAGTGCATGCTTTAGACTTTGTCCCACAACCTTCTGGGTCAGAGGTGTCCAAACAAATACTTGAAGCGTTGTATCGTTCACTCAATATTCTGGGTGAACTATTTGTTAATGCCACATTTTGTTTTAAGTTATTCCAAGGTGTCCTCTCTTATTTGGAGCAGGCTGTTTTGCCTCGGTCTTGAAAAGTTTTGCAGTGTCTGCAGTCTATTTGACCCCGTGAATCACTGGTATGTAGGACTGCTCCAGTTCAGTGTGGCTGGGTTTGCAGTTTGCACACATTCTCACTAGCTGCATCTGACTGGAGCAAAGGAGTAGGGTTCAGTTATGAGACCTCTGAAGAGTGTGGCATTGGATTGCAGCTGTTACGAACCAGTAGTCAGTGGAAGCTGCAACTGTGATATTGACTCCGGCGAGTTAAGCCAGTGCAAGGCAGCTGCCAATGTCTCACAGCCAGCCCGCCCTCTCCAAACCCACAATCCCAATTGATCATGAGATGACCACTCACAATAAAAGTGCTGGATAAATGACAAATTCTTTCAAATCAATGGCCATGAGAAGGAAATGATCATGGACAGTTTGGACTAACTTGGACTTAAAATGATAGTTCACTCCAAAATAACGTCAAATCTCAAATGAATGAGAAATGGACTTTGTCTTATTTGATCATTTTAGACAGTGCATGTCTTCCCGTTTCATTCATATAAAGTAGCAGTTTGCATAATAACATCCTTTTGTTTTCCTCCCTAGCTGACATCAGCCTGGCGGAGTGGGGCCGCAAGGCTATCGACATTGCTGAGAACGAAATGCCCGGCCTGATGAAGATGAGGGAGATGTACGGCCAGTCCAAGCCACTGAAGGGTGCCCGCATTGCAGGCTGCCTCCACATGACCCTGCAGACCGCTGTGCTCATCGAGACCCTCACCGTCCTCGGCGCTGAGGTGAGACCCTCTCCCACCTTAAAGGAAAAATCCACCCAAAACCACTCATTCCTTTTAATATAGTGTTAAATAACACTGTGAGAACAATATTTTTTTGTGAACAAATGTTTAATTTTCGCGTTGTAGTAAGGTTGGTAGCAACATGGAAAATCGTTGTGGAAATCTGCAGCGCAAGTCGACTACAAAATCCACAATGCAATGCACTCTATGGGCTGGCTGGCTAGCAAATGTAGCTACACACAATAATACCAAAGACCAAATCAGCATGTAACGTAGCTAGTTAGCGCAGTTTAGGCGATTTACAGCTATCAATTTAGGAGTCTACAATCTCTCCACATTCAACCTGCAGATCGATACGCCTCAAAGAGTGGCGTCTAACATTAGCAACGGCAGATATACTTTTGAGGAGATAGGGGAAACGTTGCCCATGCTATGGCAATGGGCCGCGCGGTGCATTCTGGGTGATTCTGGGACAAGGAGCGAATGGGAGTCGATTGAGCACTAACTCAAAAACCCAACATTCGCACGAATTACGTCAACAAGAAGTAGAACATTGCAAATCTTTTCATATATCATATAGCTTTGTAATTGTGACATTATGTACTTTTTAAGGAAAATAGGCAAGTTTCTCGACATCTACACTGACCTTGAAGGGATTGCGTGATGATTAGCTTAGCAACCGCATGACAATTTGAACGCGATTGGTCGACAGTCTGCTGGGTGGGGTGTTATACGTCCCTTCATTCATTGGATTCCTATCTCCTTTCTGTAATATCTATGGCAACGGCACCATGCAATGAACTCTGGACTAAAGAGGTAGACAAATAGGAAAAATGTGCTAGACCCTCTGTTAAATTACAAATTTCTCGAAGTAGGAATATCGCAAAAATATGATCAATGGCTCATTTGAGAGAAGACCTCCTGAGGTATGACATCGGCCAGTATTGAAATCTGACATGTATGATATACGTTTTCGCAATCTAAAAGTTCCTATTCCAATTAACTTCCAGTGTAGTGAGCGACTTTATCACGGTGCTATGTCATACCGGCCATATTTCTGCCTGCTTGAATGCCAATAACTCAGATCTACATGAAATGACCCAGGGAATTGCTAGAACATGCACAAAAACAATATAACATTCAAAATGGGTGAACCTTTCCTTTTTAATGGATGACTTTCTTCTCCCATACAAAGTCCTCCATTTAACGTTTGACAAGGTAAGTTCCTTGACAATGGTTGTGTGTATAGTGTCACTTTTGTACTTGAAATGCTAACATCCTGGTCTGTTGACCTCGGTTGCACGATCTGACAAAGGACAGTTGACTATTTCATATGAAAGTGGAACTTTGAGCAAGCAGTGTGCCGGAATGTCTCATCTTGTATCCGGTCAGGACTCTGGTGGGTCATGACTAGTTCCTCCTGAGGTTCTGAGTTCTGTCTCAAACAGATTATTAGCGTGGGTCATTATTAAATTGGAATGCAGGTTTCATCAATATGCAACTAAATTGGAGAACCACTGCAAGAAGGCCAATGAAAACAAATGTATTTGAATGCGACTCAATGGCAAAGAAACAAGGCTACATTTTACCAAAAGTAAGCTGAGGCATCCATGGGAATGGGGAAGTCCATGAGTGTTTCGGTTGACAGACTCAAATAAATGTAAGGGTCACTGTTTTTTATATCTTTTTTTGTGTGCACTTTTTACCCCTTTTTTCTCCCCAATTTCGTGATATCCAATTGGTAGTTAGTCTTGTCCCATCGCTGCAACTCCCGTACGGACTCGGGAGAGGCGACGGTCGAGAGCCATGCATCCTCCGAAACACGACCCCGCCAAGACTCACTGCTTCTTGACACACTGCTCGCTTAACCCGAACGCCAGCTTGCACCAATGTGTCGGAGGAAATGCCGTTCAGCTGGCGACCGAAGTCGGCGCGCATTCGCCCGACCCGCCACAAGGAGTCGCTAGAACGCGATGGGACAAGGACATCCCAGCCGGCCAAACCCTCCCCTAACCCGGACGATGCTGGGACAATTGTCCACCGCCTCGTGTGTTGCGGCCGGCTGCGACATAGCCCGGGTCTGTAGTGCCTTAGACCACTGCCCATTCGGGAGGCCGTAAGGGTCACTGCTGATTTAGCCCCTGTGGTAGCCACCCACCATGACACTTTCAATTTAATTTGGTCCGCTCAAAGTCCAACTCGTTCGCTTAAGCAGATGCTCATTTGACCTCGATAAATGTGAATTTGAGGTAACTCTGGTTCCAGTGGTTAGGGCTTGATGCTGAACATTCAATAATTATGTGTTTCAAGCCAGTTGTTATTGATACAACTGTCTGCAGTGTCGTTGACTCTCATGCATGAACATTTCAAGGCCTAAATATACACTGAAATCCAGCCTGTGGTAAGGGCAAGGATAGAACCTCCATTGGAAGAATGCAAAGACCCATGACCAACCTCTAGTCCACTTTGCATTCATCCTGGTATTTTCCCTGGACACATGGAATTTCCCTCCTCCCCCATTCACTGCCCCAAGGTTATCCTCGATTTATCAAAGCTAAGTATGCAAACTTATTGGACCGCTCTGGGCTGGTTATTTTAGTCAAAGCAGTGTCCTGAGAATTACGAAAGGACTTGGTGTGGGACTGATTTTGAGAATGTCCTTGTCAACCAGTGTCCATTTCTCCTGTCTCGTAGGTCCAATGGTCCAGCTGCAACATCTTCTCCACCCAGGACCACGCCGCTTCAGCCATTGCCAAGACCGGTGTTCCAGGTAAATGCACAATTGTTGGTTTGAAAACCACTCCGGACCTACTATGTGGCTAGCACTAGTTCCGGCCTGCTCTCAATGGACTCGTAGCGTGATTTGTCAATTATAGAACTCCCATTCAGTAAACCAGAACATGTTTACCCAAGCGGGGAGTGTTGCACTTTCCAATTCCTTTTAATTTGGGAGTAGGCCTATATTCCTTGCAAAACATCATCCTATGACATCTCTAAGAAGCATCCCTGCTTAGCGCAACATTACCCCTGCAGTAGTGTTTCAATCAGTGAAATACTAGAGGATATTTGCTGAGTAACTATTTAGCCATAAACTTGCCAAACGGATTTTCCACACGTAGTGATGTAATACTTGGGGGTGGTGTCCTGAGGGAGAAGTTACGAAGCCAGAGAAGTAGCAGCGTCTTCATCAGTGGGGTGCTTATTTGGCTTATAGCAGAGTTTCAGCCTCTCTCTGTTTTTAACATTTACATTTTATTCATTTAGCAGACGCTCTTATCCAGAGCGACTTACAGGAGCAATTAGGGTTAAGTGCCTTGCTCAAGGGCACATTGACAGATTTTTTTCACCTAGTCGGCTCGGGGATTAGAACCAGCGACCTTTCGGTTACTGGCACAACGCTCTTACCCACTAAGCTACCTGCCGCCCCAAGGCTTGAATGTCATGTTGATTCCTGAGTAGCACTGCTCCACGTGTTAATCTGCACAGTGTGACTGCTGAGCCAAATAGCCTGAAACGTGGCCAATATGTGTAAAACGAGTGTTTGGAAAGCTCTTCACACTTCAGTTATCAACGACAGTAGTTGGATTTTAAGGGATTTGATCATAGGCCAAGAATGTATAACTTGCTTCACTAAAGAGAACTTGACCTTGTTTCAACTCAAGACATGTCTATCCATCTATATTGGTATTTAATGGATGGCTTGTTGATGGATTCTGCAATATTTGTCCAGAAAATAAATGTAGTGTTGGTAGGACAGGAGCCAGACTAGTGGACCTTTTTGTCACACATTATATAACTCTGTCATTCATTGCTGAATCAGTAGGGATGGTGAAGTAAAGCAGATGCTGTAATAAGTCAACCCATCCTGTCCTGTCTCCCTGTGCACCCTAAAGCTACATTAAGCCCTCACCAGGCCAGATGTCCTCTGATCCATTTATTTCCTATGCCTCAGAACAAAGCCAGTTGGGTTGAACCGCTCTCTCATTGTGAATCAGCAGATCTCTTATCGAAGTCCATCATTCTTACCCCAAGGCACCTTCTCTTATCTGAAGGCAGTTTTGGCCATTGAGACTTGCCATCCTAATATTACATTTAATACCAATTTAACTCCAGTTTGGCAGTTAGTGCCAGTAGCTTGTTTAACAGATGACATTTGTAATGATTTTGCCCTTCTCAGCCATCAACAATCCTAAATTTTATTGTACTAGGCCCAGTTTCCCAAAAGCATTAGAACCTTCGTAGGAGCATTGTTAAATCTGTTTCCCAAAACAATCATTACTAAAGTTTCTCTTGAAAATGCTTGTTATTTACTGACTGCCTCAGACAACTCGTAGAACAGTTAAGTGGGTCGCCGGATGCTTTTTTTTTTTGTTGCCCTTCTGTGTCACTTTATACACAGATCTCTGCTAAACACAGATTCAAGATGTTTGTCTCTCTGTGACTGCCGACAATTTCAGAACACAGTTGACTACATACAAGCGAAGGATAAAAATAGGATTCAAATGAAAATATAAATGCAGTATAGGCTACACAGGCCTATATATTTAAATCATATTGAAATCAATTTCATGTTCATTCAATTGAGTTCTATTTTACAAATTGTAGGCTACTGTCTAATCTTGATTTTAGTGTATTATTGGGTAGGCATACACATTAGAATAAGCTGCCTCAATATTTTCAGCCATAGGTGATATCTCTGCGCTGATCCCTCGTCAGTATTTTTGGAATAATTATAATATTAAGGTATGATTTTTAATGGAGAAAGCTGATGCGAGAGCAGTGCCGCCTTTCATTCGATCCTATTAGTTTTGACACGTGCCTCGACAACGCACTTAGCGAACGTTCTCTCTGCGTGGTGTTCTGGGAAACCCATGTTACATCTTCTGCATTTTTTTAGGAAAGATGCATCCTTAACACTCGCTAGTTTAAGTTCCAACGCTATCGGGAAACCAGGCCCTGGTGTATTATAGGCCTAATGCCTGGGTTGCGTACAATTTGGTATAGTAATGTTTTAAAAATAGAATATAAATGAACGTTCCAATTAGTAGTGCCTGCTTCGTTTTTAAAACATTTTTCTCCTGCGTCATCCCTACTGAACGCAACCCGTAGCTCTGATGCCATTGCAAAGCGCTCCTCATCATCAACCCTGATTCTCATATCTCTCTCTCGTTGCAGTCTACGCCTGGAAGGGTATGACTGACGAGGAGTACGTGTGGTGCATCGAGCAGACCATCTACTGGAAGGACGGCCAGCCCCTCAACATGATCCTGGACGACGGCGGCGACCTCACCAACATGGTCCACAAGAAGTACCCCACATTGCTCTCAGGTACGGGACCTAGCTAGCTCTGACTGATAACTCTCAGGGCCTCGGAGGCCTCTCCGATACTGCAGCTTAATTAAAGAAGCAGGGCACCATATTTCTGCAATCATTTGAAAGGCTAGGGAGGAAAGTGGTATACACCTGTCCCAATTCGCTGCCTCCCCCTTGGCCCTAACTGGATCCGAAGGGTACTGTAGTGAAAGACAGTGTAGTGGTGGCGCTCCCATTTTTGCTTTCATCTTACAGAAATGTAAACCTGAGGTTTGATATTTAGCAAATTGCCCCTGCATTGGACTTGTCACAGTTGTCTGTCATAATCATTTACCTTATTCGGTCAAGGATTTGTTGGTCAGCCTTTGTTTGCCTTTTGTTAAGCTGTGTAGCAAATTATTAAGTTTGATTTTTAGGGTGTGTTGTATCCTGTAAGCGCTTTTAAAGGAATGACTTCCATCCAGAGCAAAGCATTAAAGGGGAAGTTCAGTATTTAACAACTTGATGTTTGTAAGAAACTGTAATCCATAGTTTGTTTTCTTTAAACAGCAAAGACACACTTTAGCCAACAATCGAATGAAGTGAGTGATGGGAGTAACCATGTAATGTAAAAAGTGGTTTACTTTATGCCCCAATGTGAAACACTAGGCATATTTGTAATAGGCTCGACCGTTCCAGACTAGTCCTGTACACTAGTATTTTCAGCTCTAATTTAGTGTGTGTCAGCTATGGAAATACGCCTCCCCCAAATTGCAAGGGTGATACTGCTATGATTGTCAGCGGGACTGCAGTTCTCAGTCTTGTACACTAGGTGGCGGCATTACTCCAGGGCCACCCCAGCTTCGTCATACTCCAGAGCCAATACTGAGAACTTCGGAGGAACTGAAGGTGCTTGGCAAGCAACATGCTGCAGGAACTCTTAACAGTGAACATTAACTTCAAACACAGTCCCTTGGGAATGATGTTCCTATGGAGGGAAGACTTGACTGCTGTTTGAAATGTTAACCTGCCATTCAGACTAGTTTTTTGAGAAGAAATCAGGCTAAGGCCCTGATCATTATGTTGGCGCCGCCTACCAGATGGGGATGCCATAAAAAATAAAGTGCTTATTAAAGATAGTTTTGATTTATCTTTGACAATGTTTAATTTTGTCTCCCTTAGGTATCAAGGGTGTGTCTGAGGAGACCACCACCGGGGTGCACAACCTGTACAAGATGATGAAGAACGGTGAGCTCAAGGTCACAGCCATCAATGTCAACGACTCAGTCACCAAGGTAGACCCCCCTCATCCTCCCTTAGTAGGGCCATGCATGCCTCATCAGTTCTTAAAGTGCCATAAAATAATGGTACTGGATGTCATCACCCTCCTAAGTAAGCAGCTGTATTGGGTTCCAATACATTGACTCCCTCTCTATATATCATTTCTCGCGCTCCCCCTCCAGAGCAAGTTTGACAACCTGTACGGCTGCAGAGAGTCTCTGATTGACGGGATCAAGCGGGCCACAGACGTGATGATCGCCGGAAAGGTGGCGGTTGTTGCCGGCTACGGTGACGTTGGCAAGGGCTGCGTCCAGGCCCTCCGTGGGTTCGGTGCCCGCGTCATCGTCACCGAAGTGGACCCCATCAACGCCCTGCAGGCCGCCATGGAGGGTCTGGGCTGTTTTAGTTTGATTATGTTATTGTTCAGATTTAATTTACATTCTCCTAAAATATTATTGGAGATTGGTTATAGGTATGCATTCAGTTATCTTGGGTGCCTAGCAAATATATGATTGGAAGAACTTGTTTTAAGGGCCACTTATAGCTGCCGTACATACTATGCAAACAATTTCTGTTTGACCCCATGTCATTTGTTCACTGCAGCAGAGGTTTCAAGCTCAAATGTAGAAGTAATGTAATTGATTACTAGTCCTACTTTGTTTTTGTGTAGTATTTAATTGTCTTTTGTGATTATGTTGTAGGATATGAAGTCACCACCATGGAGGAGGCTTGCAAGGAGGGGAACATCTTTGTGACCACCACTGGCTGTGAGGACATCATTTTGGGCAAGTAGGTATCATTTTGGAGTCCGGTAGAGCACCATGCAACCCATGTTAAACACTGTCTGATCAGAAGTACACGCAGTCAAGTAGGGCTGACACCGTTTAGTCGATAGGCTGTTGGTCGAGCAGTCGCAAATAGATTATTTTTGTTCATGGCACACAAGACACCTGTCTGATTTGCGCCGGTCTCTGGACTAAGCCATTGGAGGCCGCAGGGATGACACGGTCCAAGAAGGGGAGTGTGGCTAAGATGCACAAGGCACGTCTCTCTCCAGAATGCGCGCTCTCCCGCCATTTCGTCCCATTCATTATTTCATAACATTGTGTGAATTGTTTGCCCTTTGATTGTTATTGTCTATCAATTCCCCATTACATAGATCACCAGTAGTACATTTACCGTTAATTCCCATAATTGTTCATCTACAATGGTTGTTTGGTTACGGTTAATGCATTCAGTATATTATTAGTAGTTTACTGTTGTCATTGTTGGAGTGGACACGTTGTTTGCAGATCTCACAACCTATGCTACACTTGTGAGAAACACGTTTTGGTTCATTTCATTCCATAGGAGTTTTCTCAATTTATTCATTGTATTTAGTTTGAAGCGCTCCTGTCAATGTTGAGTAAGGATGCGCACCTGATTACGCATAATGAAATAGGCCTTTGCTACCTGGCCTGTGTTGCAAATGTAGGCCTGTACATTTGGGATGTCTGTCTTAACTCTCAACCGCTGTGGAGCTTCTTAAAGGAATTTTTTCTTCTTCACTGTTCTATAAAAATGTGCATCTGAAAATCATAACTGGCACGCAGATTGGTAGAAATGGTAAGCTAAATTGTCACTCCATATGGAGAAGTTTGCCAGCCTATTACTGCCAACTTCAGGAGCGTGACGGCATAATCTGCGAAGGCCAGGAGGAGGTGAGGGTTAGGGAACAGGTTTTTTTCATGTATTTTGATCTCGTGTCATTCGTGTGTCTTAATTATTTAATCAAACTGTGTGCTTAAAGCATCAGGCAAGCGCTGTAGCCTGCATATAGTTGATTTTATTCAAACACATGGGGTGTGTCTTTATTATATATGGAAAAATACACGTTTTAAAATTTAAACCAATCGATTGGTCGAAATAAGACTACTCTCGGTCTACCAAATGTTTTATTTTTTTGGTCAGGGACTGCCTTAGTCAGGCATTATTATTATTATTATTATTATTATTATTAAGTGATCCAATGCAACACAGGCAAAAAACATTCAGAAGTTTCTTCTACATATGTAGGATCTTAATTTGAGCCAGTTTGTAACTGCAGGAAAATAATACTGCAGCAACAGGAAATGTGGATTATAATTAATGGATTTTTATTTTTGTATGGGTTGGTACAATCTTCGTTAAGGCAAATCAAGTATGAAACGTTAAAGTGGAAATTACAAACTTTAGAAGGTTCTTTTTTTTCTTTTACCTTGAATACACTACAAGTTTGCATTTCCTGTAGTGCAGGAAAATTCTTGGCAACAAAAGTGCTCAAATTAAGATCTTACATCTGTAGTTACAGATCTAGGATCGGCTTATTCTCGCCCAACCCTAACCATTAGTGGAGGAAACTTCAAGCTGACCTTAAATCCGTGTCCAGGGTTTATGTCAGCCTTCTCTGGGAAATGCAACTCCAGCCGTGTCTACAACCAGCCATTAATGTATACACTGTTCTCCCCAGACACTTTGAGCAAATGAAAGACGACTCCATCGTTTGCAACATCGGCCACTTCGACTGTGAGATCGACATGAGCTGGCTCAATGCCAACTCAGCCGAGAAGATCAACATCAAGCCACAGGTAGGACTAATCCCATACACACTAGATGTGATATGTACGTTATGTTGTCTACAGTAATTTAGTTCTCCAGTTTTGTCCTAAACTCAACCGTTCTCCTCCTGCCAGGTGGACCGCTACCGCATGAAGAGCGGCCGCCACATCATCGTCCTGGCCGAGGGCAGACTGGTCAACCTGGGCTGCGCCATGGGCCACCCCAGCTTCGTCATGAGCAACTCTTTCACCAACCAAGTGCTGGCCCAGATTGAGCTGTGGAAGAACACCAGCAAGTACCCCCTGGGAGTCCACTTCCTGCCAAAAAAGGTGAGCCATTTTTAACAGAAGCGACGTAAATGCACTTGTATTTTCTTCATTCGATTGACACGTGTATTCTGTAGTTGAGTGTCTTATTGTAATAGTTTTTCACAACCTGGAAAAGGTTTTTAAAAAGGGTTCTAGGTTTTCTTTGCCTGCAACTCTACAGGTTAATAGGAAAGAAATGTCATGTCACTGTATCCTAAGTTGACCCCACTAACTCCTGGTCGAAGTAAGTGGTTCCGGGTACTGTGTGAAATGCCAAGTGGACACAGTTCTCAGAATTGGACATGCGTTTGTAGTATGTTATCAAATATGCTCCTTTAACATTACAGCATAGCCTGTTTGCAGAACAGTGTAATGTGTATTTTTTTTTTTGGTCTCTGCTTGAGTTGAGGATATTCTTAATGCATGACTATTGGCAATCCTACCATCTGATGGGGTCTTAGCAATTTAACTATCAAACTGGTTGTCATTTTTAAGGCGGTATGAAAAGTTGGCCATTGTTTTCACTTAGTTTTTTGGGCGTCGTTTTTGATGTGGATGAAGTCCTACGATCATGTCTTGTGACTATTTAAAGAAATGGAAACTAGGCTTAATGGGCATAATGGCTTTATGATTAACCCTGTAATAGGTAGCTGAAATGAGGCCCTTTGTACTTGGAGCAGAAATTGAGCATTGCACAGTCATTTTAAATTGCGTGACACATGGGTTCTGGTGAACATCTGAAGGCCTTTAACTGAAGCCATATACTCAGAGCTGAGCGCAAGAGATATGCTTGTGGGAAGTTGGGAACAAAGCCAGGGATGGTTCGAGGTCAATCTATTGCCGTAAGAGAATGTGGTTTTATTTATTTTGTTGAAGAGTACATGGTCTGTCAAACAGAGAAGAACCACCCCTGTGATATCCCTCCCGAATTGCGCAGAGGTCTAAGGCACTGCATCTCAGTGCTTGAGGCGTCACTACAGACCCCGTGGTTCGATTCCAGGCTGTATCACAACCGGCCGTGATTGGGAGTCCCATGGCCCAGTGTAGGCCGTCATTGTAAATAAGAATTTGTTCTTAACTGACTTGCCTAGTTAAATAAAGGTAAAATTAAAAAAAATTAACATTTTCCTGCTCAACCTAATGTTCAGCCTTGTTTTGACAGCTCCTTTGTGGATTATGTCTGCTCTTGAGACTGGCATTGAGACCAGTTTTGACATTTTTCATATGATTTTGACCAACCTGCTTGGGCGCAACAAAGCATGTTTTTGTTTTGTGGGGTAAATGTGATTTGAGTGATTGAACCCGTTACTAATCAAAGTGTTTTGTCCTAGTGTTATTCTGAATTTGACTTAAAAAAAAAACATTTTTCTCTTGTCTGCAGCTGGATGAGGAAGTGGCTGCCGCCCATCTCGACAAGCTCGGCGTCAAGCTGACTAAGCTGTCAGATAAGCAGGCTAAATACCTGGGACTTAACCGCGAAGGACCCTTCAAGCCTGACCACTACCGCTATTGAAAAGTTTGTCAGGAAGGTGGCTGAGCAGCGGCCCAGAGTCATGGTGCAGTCTGGAGGTGGTGCATGGACACGTGGGTCTGGGTAGGGGAAGATTCCCAGGAGTCTTCTGGTGGCTAGGACATTTTTGCCAATGCTCTGCTTCAACTGCCCTTCAAACTGTCTTGCCCACTGTATACCCTTGCCTTTAGATTCCAACCAGAGCTCCATTGCCTTTCAAGTAACATCAAGTGCGAAATGGCTTCTAAAGGCACCATTCTTGTTAGAAATTGAATTCCTTCTTTAATAATGGAAAAAGCCCCCATCCCGTACTATTCAGGTTTACATATACAATGTAGTGGCTAATATGGCAACACGTGCTGGTTTCATATCATTGTCTTAAGGAAAACTATCCAAAGTACCACCAAAGCAGTTCTTGCCTGGCTTCAAGTACACACTTACTCAGTTTCCCCCACTTTACTTTTTTGTAAGTCTAGGATTCTGGCTGAAGGGACAGAAAACGTCTAAGTTGTAGAACATCTGTAATGACTTTTTGTATCATTATCTGGCCTGTGTTCTTAGCTCAGCTGAGATAGAATGGGTCATGGTCAGGTCAACTATACTGCCATGTTTAACGGTTACATCATGTATTTCTCAAGTGTTGCATTTCATACAGGACTTGTACTATTGTGAAATACGATGCAATAAATATCACATTTTACTGGGTTGTAATTTTCTTATTTTTTAAAATAATTAACTTTTGCCGCATGGCAAATGCAAAGCAAGAGTTGAAATAATGCAACGCTTGCGGCACTGCAGAGGGCAACCTGACGGACCCCTCAAACGACAGATTCTGCCAGTACACTTCATTACCGTAGTTTGTCTGCACGTGGCATACAGTACCAGTCAAAAGTTTGGACACCTACTCATTCCAGGGGTTTTTCTTTATTTATACTATTTTCTACATTGCAGAATAGTAGTGAAGACATCAAAACTGTGAAATGACACATATGGAAGCATGTAGTAACCAAAAACGTGTTCAACAAATCAAAATATATTTGAGATTCTTCAAAGTAGCCACCCTTTGCCTTGACAGCTTTGCACACTTGGCATTCTCTCAACCAGCTTCATGAGGTAGTCACCTGGAATGCATTTCAATTAACAGGTGTGCCTTAGTTAATTTGTGGAATTTCTTTCCTTTATGTGTTTGAGCCAATCAGTTGTTGTGACAAGGTAGGGTTGGTATACAGAAGATAGCCCTATTTGGTAATAGACCAAGTCCATATTATGGCAAGAACAGCTCAAATAAGCAAAGAGAAATGACTGTACATCACTTTAAGACATGAAGGTCAGTCAATCTGGACAATTTCAAAAACTTTTAACATTTCTTCAAGTGCAGTCGCAAAAACCATCAAGCGCTATGAAGAAACTGTCTCATGAGGACCACCACAGGAAAGGAAGACCCAGAGTTACCTCTGCTGTAGAGTTCATTAGAATTACCAGCCTCAGAAATTGCAGCCCAAATAGATTAAGGCACTGCATCGCAGTGCTAGCTGTGCCACTAGAGATCCTGGTTCGAATCCAGGCTCTGTCGTAGCCGGCCGCAACCGGGAGACCAATGGGGCGGCGCACAATTGGCCCAGCGTCGTCTAGGGTAGGGGAGGGAATGGCCGGCAGGGAGGTAGCTCAGTTGTTAGAGCATGGCGTTTGCAACGCTAGGGTTGTGTGTTCGATTCCCACGGGGGGCCAGTGTAAAAAATATATATATAAAAAAAAATTAAAAATGTATGCACTAACTGTAAGTCGCTCTGGATAAGAGTGTCTGCTAAAAAAAAAAATGCTTCAGAGTTCAAGTAAAAACGCATCTCAACATCAACTGTTCAGAGGAGACTGCGTGAATCAGGCCTTCATGGTCGAATTGCTGCAAAGAAACCACTACTAAAAGACACCAATAAGAAGACTTGCTTGGGCCAAGAAACACGAGCAATGGACATTAGACCAGTGGAAATCTGTCCTTTGGTCTGATGAGTCCAAATGTGATATTTTTGGTTCCAACCGCAGTGACTTTGTGAGATGCAGAGTAGGTGAACGGATGATCTCCGCATGTGTGGTTCCCACCGTGCAGCATGGAGGAGGTGTGATTATGTGGGGTGCTTTGCTGGTGACACTGTCTGATTTATTTAGAATTCAAGGCACACTTAACCAGCATGGATACGCCATCCCAGCTGGTTTGCGCTTAGTGGGACAATCATTTGTTTTCCAACAGGACAATGACCCAACACACCTCCAGGCTGTGTAAGGGCTATTTGACCAAGAAGGCGAGTGATGGAGGGCTGCATCAGATCACCTGGCCTCCACAATCACCCGATCTCAACCCAATTGAAATGGTTTGGGATTAGTTGGACTGCAGAGTGAAGGAAAAGCAGCCAACAAGTGCTAAGCATATGTGGGAACTCCTTCAAGACTGTTGGAAAAGCATTCCAGGTGAAGCTGGTGGAGAGAATGCCAAGAGTGTGCAAAGCTGTCATCAAGGCAAAGGGTGGCTACTTTGAAGAATCTAAAATATATTTTGATTTGTTTTAACACTTTTTTGGTTACTACATGATTTCATGTGTTATTTCTTAGTTTTGACATCTTTGACAAATAGTAAAAAATAAAGAAAAACCCTTTGAATGAGTAGGTGTGTCCAAACTTTTGACTGGTACTGTAAATCTATTCCAAACCGGTGAAAATTATGACACGTTGGAACCAAACTGGAGCTGTGCAAAGCTATGCGTTGGGGGATCGTGTGGGTGAACGCTATTAATTAAACTAAATTTAGGCTGCAATCTCCCATCAACTTTGAGATTTTGCTTTTGATTCAATGCTACTTGGCTCAGGAGGATCCATCAACTAATTGAATACTGGCGTTTCTTTCGCCGTTATTGGCACCAACTCAGTGGCCTTGTGGTGAGTGTCCGCCCTGAGATTGGAAGGTTGTGAGTTTAATCCCTGATCGAGTCATACCAAAGACTGTAAAAATGGGACCTGATCCTTCTCCGCTTGACACTCACTATTAAGGATATAGATTGGGGGTAAAGCCCTGCGATAGACTAGCGTCCTGTCCAGGGGGTGTACTTGTACATCAAGCTACCTCACGCTATAGAAATATGAACCGTTCCGGCTCGCGCAAGCCTACTTACTTGCTTCGTTATTCGCTGTGCTTCTCTCCGCCGACTCCACACACTCTGTGAACAACTCTACAGTATGCTTTAGAAGCATTTGGGTTTGAATGTTCGTCAAGACAAGGTATGAAACAAATATTTTCAAGGCTTGAAAATCTTAAACTACAGTCTGCTTAACTCTCATACTATCGACATATGTTTTGATCATAGCCCAAAGGTGGTTTATTAAATGTTTAATTACTTTGTCAATCAACTTGTTTGTAATATAAATAATTGTTTTGTGTTTCTGTATCAATATGGACCTTTTTAAAAAGTCAAGTCCTTTGGGGTCATTTTGACCCCAGCTAAAAACACCCAATTCTGTCTATAGTAATTTGATAGATGGGACCTTTTTATTTGAATCTAGGTTTCTCTGGAGACATAAGTTATCCATACCACCAAGAGGGTGGAGGGGGACCTGCATCAGTGATTTTGACCCGATCATCTGCAAAGATATAGCTCCCCATGTAATCGCCTAAAATTGCACTTTTCTATACCACGTATATGGCTGTCTACAAAACCAAAAATAACCTTATTTTAGTGCATATAAAAATCAGCCAATGGTATAAATACTTGATAGAACTGCAACACAGAACTCGGATACACTCAATCTACATCCAGAGCTGTATTGGTGTGTATTCTCTAAAAGGTAGTCATTCTAGGGAAAATCTAAAAAATATTCATTTGAATCTAGGTTTCTCTGGAGAAAATATTAAGTTATCCATACCACCAGAGGGTGAAGGAGGACCTGTATACAGCTCACCTGCAGAGATGGCAGACCTTAGGAACTCACCTATGGTTATAACTAGGTAAGACAGTGTACAAAATCAATATTACCTTACATATACACTGAGTGTACAAAACATTATGAACACCTGCTCTTTCCATGAGACTAACCAGGTCAATCCAGGTAAAAGCTATGATCCGTTATTGATGCCACTTGTTAAATCCATTTCAATCAGTGTAGATGAAGGGGAGGAGACAGGTTAAATAATGATTTTTAAGTCTTGAGACAATTGATTATTTTACCAGGTAAGCTGAGAACATATTCTCATTTACAGCAACGACCTGGGGAATAGTTACAGGGGAGAGGAGGGGGGATGAATGAGCCAATTGGAAGCTGGGGATGATTGTATGTGTGCCATTAAGGGTGAATGGACAAGACAAAATATTTAAGTGCCTTTGAACGGGGTATGGTAGTAGGTGCCAGGCGCACTGGTTTGTGTCAAGAACTGCAACGCTACTGGGCTTTTCACGCTCAACAGTTTCCCGTGTGTATCAAGAATGGTCCTGCAGCCAACTTGACACAACAGTGGGAAGCATTGGAGTCAACATGGGCCAGCATCCCTGTGGAACGCTTTCGACACCTTGTAGAGTCCATGCCCGACAAATTGAGGCTCTTCTGAGGGCAAAAGGGGGGATGCAACTCAATATTAGGAAGGTGTTCTTAATGTTTTTGTACACTCACTGTATGCTTAGTTGCAATCAAAATGGCTCATAGAGGTCTGTCAGTGATATGAATACTTGGTAGAACTGTAATTCAGAAACCAGCTCCCCTCTATATGTAGTGCTGTATTGATGTGTATTCTCAGAGAAATCTGACAGGAAATGTTGATGCTATTCCGTTTGCGCTGTTCTAGCCATTATTATGAGCCGTTCTCCCCTCAGCAGCCTCCACTGGTTGGTAGTATGACAGTTAAGGTATGGAATTCTTAAACAACATTGATAAAAGGTTCATCAGGGCCGGTTCCAGGCATAAGCGACATAAGCGGTCGCTTAGGGCCTGCGGCTGCTGACTGAGTCTTTTGTAACTCAATTTAC